ATTGTAATGATATTGAATTATTTTTTATTTTTGCCTTATTGGTTTCCTATGAACAATTTTACTCAAAATATGAATTTGTAAATTAATTTGGTATTCAATTAAACAAATTCAATGTTCTATAGGTATTCTTTAATGCAAAGAATTTATGAAATCACACCCAGAGAAATATCTTGGGTACTTTTAATGAACTAGGTTTGTTATTTATCAACAAACCAATTATTGTGAAAATTAAAATCATGTTATTGTTTTAAAAAACTGTTCGTTTTAATGATTATATATTTGACTATTTTAATAAACCTAATTTGTTGATTCAGTAAAATTATTCAAAACTGTTCCTCGTGGAAATTATAACTATTTTATAATTTTTACTATCATCTTTTATTGATTTAATTTAACTTCTAATTAATTGAATAAACCTTGTCAATAAATTGTAAAAATATATTAATATTGTTGTTGCGTGATTTTATTACCGACCATTCGAATTAAAACTACAAACCGTTTTATTGTTTGAATATATTTATAAGTTAAAATTTTATATATTACTTAATATATTGGTTATTTATAACTTTCATGGATGGGTTTTTCTAAAATCCAACAGAAAGAAACCGACGTCTGACGATAATGCCTCCCGCGTCTCGGCGTCTCGCATACGCACTACGGTATTCGCTATCATTTTGTTATAAACCACGGAAGTGTCAATATTTAATACTATTATTATATAATAAGTATAGCCGTACGCCCGTACAGCAGATGCACAGATGCAGCAGATATCGTTTTTGTAAGGTATGTTAAAACTAATTTATGTCTAATTATACGGCACCATATGAGTTGATTCTCAAGTAGGTACTGAAGATTAAAATACTTAGGGGCTTGTCTACACTACGGTATTTTCGCAGTGAGTCCGAATGATTTTACCGACGGACTCCATGGTTTTTACGTTACCGTCTAAATAGCCATTTTTATCGATCGATCCATACTACGATGTGTTAACTCGGTATGACTCAATCGATTTAATTAAAGCTGTTAGATGGTAAAGTAAAAACCATAGCGGTAAAACCTATCGGACTCGACACCGAAAGTACCACAGTGTGGCAAGAGCCAAGAGTTTCGTGTAGGATTCATGTAGGATTCCCTTAACTATTGTTGTATATCATCATCGAAATTAATAGGTATTTTAATCCAAGGAAGACCGAAAAAAATAAGTTACTACTCAAATAGGTAATCTCATTACCAGATATCAGTTTTTAAAAACAATAGTTTTCAAATTTTACTTAGTAGGTATACCATGATAGAAATATTTATTATTTCTATCATGAGGTATACTATAAAAAATATTTAAATTATATTTGATATAAAAAAGTTGTTAAGTTGTATGATAGGTATTCTATGATGATTTTCAAAATATAAAAAACTAAAAAAAGTACATTTTTGAAAGAATTCTCGGCCTACCTTCTTGTGGTGTCTCTTGGGTAACGCAACACTAGGCTGATAAGTGTTGTTCAACATAATATTGTCATATACATTTATCGTATTAATACTTATATACAATAATAGGGTAGTCAACTCGTATATACTGTATCTTAATAGCCCGAGAATCAATGATACCTATATTAAGTATAAAGTAAGTTTTGGAAATCAACTCAAACAGTGATACCTACAACATCCATGCTATATAGTTAATTATTATAATATGATAAATTGAAATTGTAAATTAATAAAAAAATTTTCCAGATAACATAATTTCAAAAAATTATACCAAGTGGGTGATAAGTTCTTATTGAAATTTCGCAGTATAATTCATTAGGTGAGTATAACTTATTGAAATAAAAAATTACTGAAATATATTTTGAAAACTTAAAATATACCGGTAAGTCGGTACCTAATAATGTATTCAATATTCTTAAACTAATAATATTAATTTGGTCTATTATTTCAAAAAGGTACATTTACACTCACATTATACGTTTATTTTTATATGTAAAAGTTGAAAAATTATTTTAATTATGTGACCCTACATTTTAACATTATTTTTTAAGGTAACTTTTACTAAATTAATTTTTGAGTAGACTGCATGTGCCAACATAACTTAATTTTAATTTTATACTTTTATGATTATACACTTGTAATATACCTACAGTAATTTATATATTTTTTAAGCAAACTCATGTAGATAGACACAGGTTTCTAATCTATGGTTGCCTGAAATTTATTATAATATATACTTAAATATTTGTACTTAGATACCTTATTATTTAGTTGAACTTTTTATGGTACTAAATTAATTTAAAATGATTTGTTTTATCTGTAAATCTGAATTTTCATCGTTAACTACATTGGTTGTCCATTTCAAAGTAATACATATGTTAAAGAAGTCAAGTACATATGAATGTACAGAAAATAAATGTTCACAGGTTTTTTCTACTTTGGATAGTTTTAAAAGACACACACAAAAACACACTAACAATGTTACTAAAAAAATAAAAATTAACCATAACGAAAAAGAAATAGATGATAATACTGTAATATTTCAAGATATAAATAAAGATGTCAATCTTCACAACCTCCTTAAAGAATCTCAAGAAATTCAATATGAAAATGTTACACATAAGCCTAATGATTATGAAAATAGTATTGATTTTACAAATTTTAATATTGATATTGCTATTAACAAAATACATCAATCAGCAATAAATTTTACAATGTCACTGCATAATAATAATAATTTTTCAAGAAAAGACGTAGTAAATTTACAAAAAGAATTTTTACAGAGTTTGATTGAACCAATTGCTGATGTATTAACTAATTTTGTAAATAATAAAATTAAAGACCCATTATTACTCTCTTCTTTTCATACTCTAATTTCAGCTATTTCTACTCCATTTAAATTATGCAGTTCAGAGTATCTTTTAAACAAATGGTTAACAAATAATAATTTGTACACTAATGTTAATCAATTCACTATTTATAATGAGATTAATTTAGTTTCTACTCATGGTGAAACCAACTATAATGAGCAAATTACAAAAGGAATTTTAATGCCAATACAGTTTCAATTCAAATCATTTTTTGAGTATGACAATAACTTGAATAAAACTTTAACTCATTATCAATACTTGACAAACAATTCAGATGATACTATTTTGACACATTTCATTCAGGGGGCTTTATGGAAAGAAAAAATGTCTCATTATCATAATAAAATTGTAATTCCATATTTTTTATACATAGATGATTTTGAAGTAAACAATCCATTAAGTTCACACTCTTCTTGTCATTCTATTTGTGCCATTTACTATAGTTTTCCACTAAGTGACCAATCCAAGCTTTCCAATATATTTGTTGCTGCTTTACTAAAGTCAATTGATATAAAAAACTTAGGTAATGATCAATGCCTAAAACAATTAATTAATGAATTAAATAAGCTTGAGATCGATGGTATATTTATTAAAACTTCAGAAGGGGAAAAAAAAGTTCATTTCATCTTAGGTTTACTTGTTGGTGATAATTTAGGGCTAAATAGTGTTCTAGAATTTAGTAAATCTTTTTCCGCAAACTATTTCTGTCGATTTTGTAAAGAAAATAAATTGGTTACCCAAACAGCATCCGAAGAAAATGTTTTGTTGCTTCGAAATTATGAAAATTATTTAGAAGATATAAGTACAAATGATTTTAAATTGACTGGTATTTATCAAGAACCAATTTTTAACCAATTAAATGTATTTCATGCAACAACAAATTATAGTATCGATATTATGCATGATATCTTTGAAGGTATCTGTCATTATAATATGTGCCACATAATAAAATACTACACAGAAAATGTAAAAATTTTTTCATTGCATACATTAAATTTAAGAAAACAAAATTTTAATTATGGAAGTATTGAAGTTGGCAATGCCTCACCACTTATTAAATCAATTCATATTCAGAAATTCCATTTAAAAATGACGGCACGAGAAATGATGACCTTTGTGCATTTTTTTTCTTTAATGATCGGTGACTTAATTCCAAAAGATGATCCAGTATGGGCATTTTTTAAAAATTTCTTGGAAATAATAGATATTTTATTATCAAATCAAATTAAAGAAAATACTATAAATCATTTAAAAGAACTTATTAAGCATCACAATTTAAATTATGTTTTAC